CATCACTGATGAGATACACATCATTTCACCTTAGTATCTTTCATTTTGGGTTGGATCACTCTAAATTACTGGTCCATATCAAATAGAAAGATTTCCAACTCTTTGGCATTTCGAGCACCCTCTAGCTCTATGGTTCAAGAGCCTTCACTCTTGATGAGAGATGGCCATAAAACATTCATCTGCTCGCATGCATTGCATGCAAGAGTACTAACACATAAGTCATCAATTCCCTGGCTTCTCTTGTAAGTATTACATGGACCATCTAATGTTTATCCATCAACCTTTGAACTTGGATCTCCAACTGTTCAAGTCATGATTCTTCTTGCATGGACTCTACCACCACAAACCGTTCCTTGCTTCTGCAGAGATCCATCAACTTTCAATTGACAATGTCAAGCTGTTACTCCAACTAGGCCACTTTTCCTTCCATGCTTCTATGTCATTTAGCCTGTCGTTCAGGATGTGCCTCTTCTATGTGAGAGAGCTTACTCCGTAGGCATTATTATTTGCCCCTCTTGTAAAGGTTGCTAGTTTGCCATGTTGCCACGCCATAGCAATTCAATATTTCCTTGACCTACTCTAATACCACCTTGTCCTTGTCACATCCTTAGCTAGGATTGCCTATAGCATTCGACACCAGAGTGATATTTGTCCCCAAAGATCCTAGACCTTAACCTTGTGTAGTCCACAAAGGACCTGCATAAAGAAGAAAAGGTTAGAAAGGTGAACGTGGGGGTAATATATCATTGTTGCACACGAAAAAAGTAAGATAACCAAGATTGCAAGCAATATTTGACACAAAAGGCTCTTGAAAATAACCTAAATGATCGCACAAAAAGGGTTTCCAAAGGTAGGTATAGGTCCAATGTTCAAGTAGCAATTTTATCTAACAAAAATTGGGCATATTAAAGACGTTGCACTATATCTCATATATGTAACCGAGGCTCTATCCGGTCCGATGCCACCCACGAGGTTCTAATACTAAAAGTCTTTATTTTACACCACAAGACTGTCAGCAAAAAATCAACACATGGCACATGAGAATAGAGTGGTTTTGGCTATTTTCCTATTTGTGTAACGCCGAGCAACTAGAAACGTTTTCGATTTTTACATTGCATAAACAAAAATCAAAATAGGGCCGACATTAGTGCTTTCTTTCTTATACAAACTACCGAGAAAAGCATCATGGATATGCGTCAAACACCTTGACCACATCTACTGATCGGTATGTACCACACCGAGCCAAGACCATGATAAGACCCTAGGGTTTTATCGTGGAAGAAAGAGGAGCAAAGGGATGATCACTTCGAGGGGATCGGCCTCCTTGATCACTTCGAGGGGATCTGCCTCCTAGAGTTTGTCAAAAGACTGAATAATATTTCATTTCCTGCCGAAAAAAAACGGTTACATCCTTAGTTATAGAGTTCCACACAGAGTCTACCAGGACTTGGACTCTTAATAATAAATAAATATTAAATAAACCTCTATCCGACACTTACTAAACTAAATAAACTCAACAAAACATTATTCAAAAGCTAAAAAAATAAAGGGATCCTAACAATTCCTTCCCATTCAAATCAGTCTTGTCCTCAAGGCTGAGCAGCATCAAACTCGGAGAGTTTCTCTTTAAGCACTTCAATCACAGGGTATCTGCGACGCATCAGAACCCATTGATCAAGTGCAGTCTCCACTTCTTGATAGTGTAAGCAATAGGTCGGCCTGTCAATGTAGTAGTAATTGCAGTCTTCTGAAAAACCCTCTCCATCCAATGGCTAGTGGCAATTGTGACCTTACTTCCACGTCTTCCTTTTATGATCACCTGCTTTCCATTAATAAAAAACTTCATGATTAGTTTAGAAAAATTCCACAAAACATCACCCAGAGTTGATAGTCATTCAATTCCAAGCACGACTTCGAAGTCTTCCAAGGGTAGCAAAAAGAAGTCCACAAGCAACTCTCGGCCCTATATAATCAACTTTATTTTTGAACATTTGCTATCATAAGTTCAAATTCGTCCATCGACGACCTTTACTTCGAATTTGTTACAGCCTTCAATGTGGTAGGCCAATCGGTCAGCAACCTTACTGTCCATAAAATTGTTAGTGCTACCAGTATCAATCAAAACTGTAACATGTTGATGTTCCAAGGTTCCTCTAACTTTCATAGTTTACGAGTTAGAGTAGCTGGCTAATGTATGCACTATATGTATGATAGGTCCAATATCTTCATTAGCAAGGTCTGCCATACCGAAGCGTACCGCCCGTACCGGGCAGTATGTATCGGTCCGATAGGTTACCGGTACGCGGACCGCCCGATACCGCTACAGTGCTACAATATTATACTGTAGCACTGCTACAGTATGAAAAAAATATATAAAATTATTCGGTACACCAGGGTGTACCGCTCGGTACGCCCTGATGTACCGCCCAGTACACCGGTTCCGTATCGTACTGAGCCCGGGTCGAAACGCCGGTATGATACGGTACGACGAACCTTGTTCATTAGAATCCATACCTTCATGATCGGAGTCCACATTGTTAGCTTCTGGATCCTCCCCAATTGGTTCAATCATTAGAAGTTGCCTTTGTTTACATCGGTGCTCCCTGCTCCACTTTTTATCATAGTGCCAGCACAAACCCTTCGCTGATCTTTCCTTGAGTTCTTCTCGGGTTAGCCTTCGGGTGTTAGGATTCTGACTGAGAATAGATAGGGCGAGTGGCTTACTGATCATCTGTTTGTTGTCACTTCTGTTTTGACGATTTTCCCTACTGATTTTTTCATCATGTAAACGTGCAAATGATATTGCGGCTATCATAGTGCAGGGTTGGAGAGCTTTGACTTCACACCGAATCTCTGGATTAAGTCCTTCGATAAATATACCCACTAGTTATCGTTCGGACCAATCTCTAGCTTTAATTTGACAATCGTTCAAATCTGCTCTGATATTCTCAAACTGTGGAAGTCTGACGAATTTTGACGAGCTATCCATCAACATTTTCGTATTCAGATGGTCCAAAGTGAACAAAAAACCCTCTCTTGAACTGCTCCCATGGGGGAACTCCGTGGTAAGTTTCGTACCAATCATACCGCTGGATTGCATCACCATCTAGTTGGATTGAGGCTATTTCTACCTTGGATTCTTCTGGGGTCCTGTGAAAACGAAAAAAAATTTCTACCCTAGAGATCCAACTGGTCGAATCCCCATCTTCCCATCTTGGAAATTCTACCTTAATACGTGGGTAGCTTGTGTCATAATCTTGGGGCCCTTTTCCTATATCTCCAGATATATTCAATGCAGAACTTGAGCTCCTATCTTACTGAAACTTGCTAAAGCTCTCCAATAAGCTCTTTTTGAAATCGTGAAGGGTTTCTTGTAGCCGATTCTCAATTCTGGTTTCCAATGCTTCAATTTGTGCTTTCACTGAGTTATTGGTAGCTATTACGTAAGACTGCAAATCTGTAATCCCCAGTTCTTGTTTCTGATGTCTGGTCAAGGGCATCAGCGTTGTCGACGTGAAGCTGTCGAGGAAGCGAACGTTGAGGGCAGTGTTGTGGTTGCAACGAGGAGGAAGAGTCACTACCCTATTTCGATCGTTACATGGGATGAGAGCGTTGGGGGCTAGAATGTTGGTGTGGCTGCAGCTATTGTGACCCAAGGGAGCGATCGCCGAGCAGCCGGGTTTGAGGCTGTGGTGATGGTAATAGACAGTTGCGACAGAGGATACAGAGCAAGGGGGAGGCAGCGTTGAAGCGACCGAGGTTAAGGTTGAGGTGGTGACGACTGACGGCTGCGGTAGAAGTTGTAGAGCAAGGGGGGAGGCGGCGGTGTTGTGAATGCCGATGGAGAAGAGGAATCAGTGGTGGCGTGGCTGGGAACAAGGGCAATCAGTGAGTTGCCCTATTTCAGTCGTCGCGAGGAAGTTGTTGCCCGAGGTCAAGAGGTAGCGGTGGTGGCGCGACGAGAAGCATCGTCACCAAGGGTCGCCGAGGGCTGGGATCGATGAGGAGGGAGGTCCGTTGGCCGGAAAACAGCGACGGCTGTGGTCGCTGGCTAGCGAGCAGTGGACTCTGTTTCGCTGGCCAGGCTTCTTTCTCTCTCGAGAGGATGTGATTGCAGAAATTTTTTTTTCTTTTTTTGATGATGATAACTGCAGCGAGAACGCCGAGGATCGCTGCTCTAATACCAAATGATAAGACTCTAGGGTTTTATCGTAGAAAATAGAGGAAAAAAGTGGATGATCACTTCGAGGGGATCGGCCTCCTTGATCACTTCGATGGGATCTGCCTCCTAGGGTTTGTCAAAAGCCTAAATAATATTTCATTTCCTGCCAAAAAGAAACAGTTACATCCCTATTTATAGAGTTCCACCCAAAGTCCACCAGGACTTGGACTCTTAATAATAAATAAATATTAAATAAACCTCTATCCAGCTCTTACTAAACTAAATAAACTCAATAAAATATTATTCAAAATCTTAGAAAATAAAGGGATCCTAATAGACCAACGCCACCGGTCGACACAAGATAGCAAACGTATGATGAGTGTATTCTATATCTCGAATTTTACCAATATCCTGTTAGATGTGGCAGCTCAATTTTTATATGTATAAATTTCTTATGATATAGAAAATATATTACTCGATGTCTATCTTCTAGGAACCCATAAGGTCATTCTATTCATGTACCCAAATAAAGGATTTACATTTATTTGATTTGTTTTCATATTAAGATGAATTTGATAATTTAAGTTACCAACAAGTATAAGTAGTTCACTTCAAGAGCATTCAAATGACACTAGATATAGCAGAAATCCACAAAACAAACTTATATTTGTTTCTGTAAACTACAAGTATAAGTTATGTGGCTCTACTTCTCAAAACTAATTAAGACAAATAAAATTTTATTTTCTTCAGATTTTATGGAAAAATGAGCATTTACATTTGTAAAACAGGAAGCTAGTGTTATACATCCATATCAATGAAAGAGAAGTTCATTTGTTACATGGAAAGATGAGGATCTGCAAGACGCCTCTCTCTTAGCTCTTCTATATTTAGTAGCTGCAATTGACAACTTAATTTAAGTATTTAGTTTAATCCATGTTAGATAGCTAAATAATGCACTCACCATCTCTGGAGCAGGTACATGTGGCAAAAAAACTTCCTGATGTTCAAAACCTTCTTCTACTTTCTGCAGCACAACTTGAAAAAAAACATGTAACATAAATTGTAACCTATTAATCTTCTTGAATCTTGATTGTGTTTATACCAGGTTAGAGCTTATAAGACAGTGGTCAATCACTTTTTAAGCTTGCAGATCGAAGAACAACAAACTTAGGAGACTTGCAATCCATTAGACTACAGCTACAGCAAAACATAAATTATGTAAATTTTGAAATTGAGCAGAGGAATGAGTCTTATATAATGTCGTTTAGCAATGAAGTTGTTGACCAACAGAGTTTAATCCAAAGAAAGATTGTATTCCTAATGATGAAAGCTAAAGATAATTATATCCATGTCCTACAATTCTTCCAAAATATCAGATATTTTGTGATCTAGAAGCACCCAATGTGGCTCTACTTCTCGAAACTAAAAGATCTATCATTTACTGTAATTTTGTGATCTAGAAGCACCCTATCCATGAACTCCCAACACAGCTATTCTATTCTGAAGGGGGCACAAAGATAGATCTTTTAATGATTATGATACATAACAAGTTTTACAATGGTAACTGTGTTAAAAAATGAATATAACACTAAACTAAAAGAATAAGATCTTATAAAACAAACAAAGAACTTGATTCAAGATTGAGATAGAACTCTATGTTCATGATGGTCAGAACTGTTGTATACTTAAGTAATCATTCATTTGTACATTCTATTAAGAATGGGAAATTCAGGGACTAAGGAGCCATTATCTCTTTTTTAACAAGAAAAGAAGCAATCAAGGCTTTAATGAATCATAGAAAGTCGGACATATCATAGTGATGGCAATGTCATACACATCATTCAGATTTGTAAAGCAGAGGAGATTTTTTGCTAAAAAAACCTAAAGAAGGATTCGGACGACACTAGCAAAGGCAAAAAAGAAAAAAGGAAGCAAAGTTAATTAACCCTTTACTTCTAATCCTGTTTAAACGATTATTCCCGCCAACACCAACCATATCTATTTTTTATTTAAAGAAATAGAAAATTAATGAAGTAAAAGGGAGTGGTCATAGCATCTCAGCTGTCTTATTTTGCAGTGTGTGTTATAGAGTAATATCAGTTATCTACAGCATAAAATATTGCATGCTCACACTGAGAAACATATGCTGTGACAAAACGGGCTAAGGCAGAATCACATGAGAACCTTGTTGAGGATAGAATTGGTAAAAATCCTAGATTCCCAATTTTCCCTCTTAACTTTTAGCCCCTTTCAAATGGACCATGTCTCCACCCTACCATGTTTATTCACCTCCATGGGCTCCAATAATGAAAATGGGGATTGAAAGAATGCAATAGATGAGAGGGTGACATCAGGAAGATTTACTCATCTGAAGGAGAGTGCCTTCAAATATATGGTTCACATACGAAAATATTGGTCCTAGGTGCTAAGGAAGGATGTAAACGCTAGTCCAATACTGGATTTGGCAATCAGACTGGTATGGTACCAGTAAACGTGACAGTCAATGTATCATCAGCTAAAAAGAAAGAAATATTAAGAGTATCGACCTATAAGTCAATTTCGATTAGTACATACTAGTTCATCAGTATTTGAGACCTCGATGCTGTATCTAAAGAAACATGCTACAAGAACAATGACATCAATTTACTGAAGTGGGCAGCGAGGGACTAGCTAGGATTTAAAGAATGAAAGAAAGGTTGAGAGGACTAGTGCTAGGCAGAGTCTTTTTCTGTATCTTGTTAGCAGACGGAAAATTAACAAATCACAAGAACAAGAATTAATAGCTCAAGAATTTTGATTTTAATAAGCAACGTTAACCCATGAATGGAACCATTTAATATTTAATCAAACATCAGAAAGTAAACCTGCAAATTGTATAAGACACTCCAAACTTGAGGAATATGGACCAAATTAACAAAGATATTGCAACATGCAATTCGATGGAATATAGCATACACTTTCCAGATCTAATGTAATTAAAAGGTGTATGGAAGTAACATATAAATTTAAAGTCTCATGTTAGATTGCATGGCAGTATCTTTTCAGTAGGTGGTCATTAAAGATGAGGTATAAATACTCATGGAGAAGGATCACAAATTTTGGGGGCACGCCTAATTTACCTGGAAAATTAATCAAACCATAAAAAATATTTGCAAAGATGTCCCAATGCTACACTTTTGACAGGTAAATCTATGTAACAAACTTAATGGGAAGGATGAAAACTTGAGATCAGATACTGGGAAGAAGTAATCACATAAAGATGCAAGTGAAGAAAGAAAGCACTTGCAATGATACTGAAGATTGAATAAGAAGTTTCCAACAAAGGTAACTCACTTACCATCGTCTATTCAAAAGAATAAATCATCATCCAAGATGCTTAGGGTTAATGCACAAAGAAGCTAATAACCAAAGAAGCCACGATAAAGACAACCAAACAACTCAATGAGAACATCAGAACATTAGTTAATGTCAAATTTGTTAGTGTGGTTGATATTATGTCTAAGAGTAGGATAGACAAGAAAATTTCTAAGAAAAATTATTTCTTTAAGCCCCTCCACATAAGTCCATCTCCTGCTCATACAAAAATCCGTCTGAAATCCATCAACCTATCCATATGACATAGTGTCACGGCCTTAGCTAGAATTGCCTAAGGCGTGAGGCACCCTTGCGGCCAAGACGCGAACTTAGCTTGCGTTGCCTAAGTCGCGCTTCGCCCTTGCGATATTGCTCCGCAAAGATCAGCCCACTTGTAACCTCTCGCAGGTCCCGAAGGACCTGTAAAAGAGAAAGTTAATTAGTTCGAAAGAACGAGCGACGGACAAGTCCCGACGTCTCGCGAAAAGAGGGGAGGCTTTACAAGCAATTCAGCGAGCACCTTGCGTGCACAAGAGAAAAGAGGGAGAGGGGGAAAACAAGGACTTTAGAAGGTTGAACGAACAGTTGCAAGCCCACAAACAGCTGCTCACCGAGTCCCGGGCGTGACAACAAGTTCCCGTCAAGGCAACGTGCGAACTTGCGAATGAGTGTTCAACGCCCGGTACTATACCGAAGCCCCATCCAGCCCTGTGCCACCCGGGGGGTTCAAAGGGGCTGAGATGGCTGAAGTTTTGGTGAGCGGAGGCAGATTCCAGAAATCAGCCCGCGGCACACGAAAACGGAGCTGTTTTAGGCTGTTTTGGGGCTGTTTTGCTCGGTTCGGTGAGCGGTCGCTTTGTAACGCTGCAGCTTGTTCGAATTTACATTTTTACAAGCAAAAGGACTCAAAACCAAGGCAAAACAGGCTGCCAAGTACCTGTACATGTAGATGAGAGCGACGAACGGTTCGTTGAACGGAGTTGTTGCGGGTGCGCGACGACCGTCCGTGACATTCTCTCCCACTTAAACTCTCGACGCCCTCGTCGACGCTTGTTGGTAGTTGTTGATGATCTCTTCTTCATGTCGCAGGGCGTCTTCAGGCTCCCAACTGGCTTCAGTTCGGGGAAGCTTTCGCCACTTCACCAAGTACTATGTCTACTAAGCTCCGTTGGGTAGCTTTATCTTGCGGTCCGCCAGAATGGTTTCAACTCGCTTCTCGTAGGAGGCTGTGATGGGAGGTAGCCGAGTTGGAACACTTCGGGAAGCATCTTGCGGATCCGAGTGGTAGGCTTTTAGGTTGCTGGCGTGGAGAACGTTGTGAATTTTGAACCACGCCGGCAGCTGCAACTTGTAAGAGACGTTGCCTACCCTGCTGATAATTAGGAAGGGTCCTTCATACTTGCGCACCAATCCTTTGTGGACTTTGTTCCTAAAGAATTGGAGTGATGCCGGTTGGAGCTTTACCAACACCAAATCGCCAACTTTGAACTCTTGCGATCGCATTCCCAAGTCTGCCTACTTCTTCATCCTTTTTGCCGCCTTCTCCAAGTAAGCCCGCACAATATCTGCATTTCGGTGCCACTCCTTTGCGAAATGGTAGGCTGACGGACTACTCCCAGTATACCCAATGGCCATGGTGTGCGGAGTCGACGGTTGTTGTCCGGTAATGATCTCGAAGGGGCTTTTGTTGGATGCAGAGCTCCGCTGCAAGTTGTAGGAGAATTGGGCAATGTCCAACAGCTTCACTCAATCTCGTTGGTTGGCACTCACGTAGTGCCGAAGATATTGCTCCAGGAGCGAGTTTATCCTTTCAGTCTGGCCATCCGTCTGGGGGTGGAGGCTTGTAGAGAAGTATAACTTTGACCCCAACAATTTGAATAGCTCGGTCCAGAATCGTCCCAGGAACCGAGCGTCTCGATCACTAATGATATTGTGCAGGACTCCCCAATACTTCACCACATCCTTCATCATCAGCTTAGCCGCCTCCTCTGCTGAACAGTGTAGGGGAGCAGCAATGAAAGTTGCATACTTTGAAACCCGATCGACCACCACGAGTATCGATCCGAGTCTCCCTACAAGTGGCAAGCTTGATATGAAGTCCAAGGAAATACTCTCCCACGGCCTTTCTGGTACGGGTAACGGCTCCAAAAGCCCCACCGGCTTCCGTTGCTCCACCTTGTCTTGTTGGCAAGTAAGGCATGTTCGAACATATTCCTCCACGTCAGTCCCCATCTTCGGCCAGTAGAAGGCTCTCTCCACGAGAGCCAACGTTCTGTGAATACTTGGGTGTCTAGCCCAAAGGGAATCGTGACACTTTTTTAAGAGTTCACGCCTTAAATTGTCTACTCGGGGAACATAAACCCTATTCCCTTTTGTGTAAACGAGTCCCTCCTAAACCCAAAATCGTCGTGCCTTGCCTTCTTTGATGAGCTGCATTGGGATAACTGCCTGGGGGTCACTATACAGTCCATCCCTGATCCTAAAAAGGAAGTTGGAGTGCAACTGACTTGCTTGGCCTCCGCCCTCCAATTGTGCGGCATTCACACGCTCCACTTTCCGACTCAATGCATCGGCCACGACATTTGCCTTCCCAGGCTTGTACTCCATTGCCATATCAAATTCAGCCAAGAAGTCCTGCCAACGCGCCTGCTTTAGGGAGAGCTTCTTCTG